ACATTGCTTCCCTCTGCAATATATGTCAAATAAGATAAACACCGGGGTGACAACATTGCTTTCCTTCAGCAATTTATGTCAAAATAGGCACGAAGTCACATCGTCGCCATGTGCTAGTCCATAGCTCTTATTCATCGACGGTATTTCCCACGGGAGTTCCCCCCCGCAATACATGTCAATGGGTTTTCCATACAGTTGATGAACATACTAAGGGGTTTCCCCAGCCATACATGCAATAAAGGCACTCATGAGGGGAATAGAGTACAGCGAATGAACACTCAAGTCCATTAACACCTACAGGTTGCTAGCCTGCTAGTGTTCCACAGACCGTCTAGAACAGTCCATGGTAGTCATCCATACTCTGCTGAATGACGGGGGTCAACGTTTGGGTAAGGGCTTTTCTCATATTGCACCACTCACGCCAACGTTTGAGTAAGGGCTTTTCTCATATTTCACCACTCACTCTCTACTCATGATCTATATTACTAACTCATGAAGCTCGTCCGATCACTTCATAAAAGAACAAAGACTCCAAAGTTCTTCCAAATAAAAGTATAGGGAAAATACTGATAAAGTACTCCCGTACGCTCCCGTACCCCGACACGTAATAGTGTCAAAAAGAAGAACTAACGGATGAACACATAGTTCAAAAACACCTAATGAACATATAGTTCAAGAACACTTTATGAACATATAGTTCAAACATATGTACCGATTACAAGTCCATTAACGTTCCACTGGACTATCTAAAATAGTCTGTGGCCGTTGTCTATACTCTGCTAGATGACTAGATCATCTTAAACATCGATACCTCTCATCACTTTTATTTCATCACACATAATTTAATTCATCTACCCATGTTTTACCCAACATATTTGTAGATAAAAATACATATACAGTTTAAAAATTTGTATAAAACATCTATTCAACAGTCACCTTAATTAAACAATTAATATAATTACACGTAGCATGTATTTTCAAGAAAATACTTCATATATATGTGTAAGGTGAAAGTAACTACACACTCACATGTTTTAACGATAACCGGGCAACACTTCGTTGCCTAAAACGATCGTTTCTAATAAAACCGGGAGTTTTATTGAGAAACCGGGCTCTGCAAGGGTCGGGCTTTGAAACCGAAAAAATAAATTTCCCAAGCTTCTCGGGCACTCCGGGACGTGTTCCGGGCGTTGGAAATGATCTCGGGGCATCGGGGGAAGCGAAAATGGCTAAAATATTGAAAAAGGGGCCAAAATTGCCAATTTTCCAAAAGTATCCGGGAAGGCTCGCAAGCCTTCTATATATAGGGCCGAGGTTCGGACCCGAAGCAGCGAGAAGCAGACACGCGTCGCAGTCTGCGAGATTCGGAGGCTGAGGCGGTGCGAGTCTCGGACCAGCTGCGAGCTTCGGATTGGTCGGCTCCGGATGACTCACCTGCTTCGGATGACTCATCAGCAGATCGGAACAAGGGCGACACGCGGCTTGCTTCGGTTGGGCCTTCCTTCGGTCGAATCAGAAGCGAGCACGTGGCTACTGTTCATGCGAGGTGACTCATCAATTTCGGACACGTGGCTCGCATGACTCACTAATTTCGGACACGTGGCACTCATACAGCGAAGGTGACGTGGCCGAAGCCACCTATGCGAAATTTCTCGTTTTTCGCGCAAAACTTCTAAAATCCATAACTTTCGCATACGAGCTCCGTTTTTGACGTTCTTTATATGCACACGTAGGTAAAATTACGCTCTACAACTTTCGTTTAGACTTCGTCGGCTAATTTTGAATTTAATTTTTTTATATTATTATTTTTAACAGACCGGGACAGGAAATCCGTTAAAAATTGATAACTTCTTCATCCGACGTCCGTTTTCGTCAGACTTTTTACCGTTGTGCTACTAATGACGAGACCTTCGATTCTCGTTTCGATCGTGTCAGCTAAAAATCACTCGATCTAAAATTCGAGTTTTTAGCTGTCTACTGCTAAGCTGAAACTTCGAAAAATCATAACTTCCTCATACGAAGTCAGATTTGGGCGTTCTTTTTATACTTACTCTCGGTTTAACGAACACTACGAGTTTCGTTTAGATCACTAAGGCTAAAAAGTAGTTTATCAAAAACTCACTTTTTACGACATTCGGCCCCGTGCCGGTTTATCGTGAAACTTCGACAGGTCATAACTTCTTCGTTATAACTCAAATTTCGGCATTCTTTATATATCCGTAATCCTTGTCACGCCCACTACAAGTTTCTTAATAGATATCGGCTTTATCTAAAATTTAATTTTTGACGCTCATTTTTATTCTTAATTAATTAAACCCTAATAATTAAGCATAAAACACATAATTCACATAATCCATTTTCATTTCTTCTAAATGAGTTACAAAGGTTAACCTAGACCATTATGTCAATATTAATGTCTAGCCTAGAAACACGGGCGTTACATTTAATTAAAAAAATAATAATAAAACGGATTTTAAAAAATGAAAAAAAAAGGAGGGGCATAGTCATTTCAAATTGTTCAGGGACCAACTCTGCAGAAAGTTTGTGATTTTGGACCAATGGTGCAAGTTGAAAAAATTTTGGACTCCAACTTCACTTTTTTGCTAACCACGAGGACCAAAATTTCAGTTTAGTCTTTAAATTTAAAGTATATAACATTAAGTTAAAAGCTAAGAAACATAACATAAAAGATAAAAATTAGTAATTAAATACAACCTGTTTTTGTTTTCAGACTCTTTAACAACATTTCAAAATTCTAAATATTCAAAATGTTTTTTTTTTCTGGAAAATTTAAAGAGTTTGGTTTAAATAATTGCATCATTTTCACCATTATTTCTATTATATTACCAATTGTGTTTCAAATTATCAAACAATGTGTTAAACTCTGTTATCACTATGTTCATGCTGCTCCACTTAGTGTAGGTATGATTTTTCTTTCGGTAGTCACCTTGATGCATTTCGTTGAGGAAACATATAGTAACTTTACTCCAAAAAGTTACCCCTTTGTTGCCGATTGAAGAATCATCCTATACATCGACTCAGGCACGTACCAAAGTTGCATTTCTATTGAGGTCCAAGTTATAATTGAGGACTTCTTATGTTAGTATAATAATGAGAGTTTGAAGAAGATATTTTACAAAGATAGAACTGGGAGGGGTAAGATGAGTGTTGAAGGTTTTGAGAGTGGTATGAATTGGTTTTAGTTGTTGGTAACTCTTATAGGAAAAAAAGTTGGTAAAATTTTTGAATTTTGTGGTTAGAAAATAGTCAAAAAAAAGTAATAAAGAGGAAAGATAAGTAGCAAACTTATGCCGAATTGGAGAACCGAACTCAACATGTCAAAGTTGTAGGACAGTATTTGTCGAGCCAACTCAGCTCTGGGGAACTCTATGTCAAGTCCATTCTCTCCTGTCTTGATAGTCTAGTTATATTAACTTTGATTTTGATCATTAAAGTTTTCTTATCATATTTGAACGAAAAGGATCATCATGCGTGTAGATTAAATTTAACCTTTAACATCTAAAATATGAGAGTTACATTCCATTTAGGAAATAGAACACATAGTCTTACAATTTACATTATCTACACCAAAACCTTAGTGACAAATAAGTTTTATAAATAACTTCAAAACTTTAGTTGATTATCTACGGATGTGAATATTTTAACTAAACTATTTATGTCAACAATTTGCCGCCATTAATGGGTAATCAAGAGTTATAGGACAAATGTATGAAGTTTGGAACTATGATTATATCTAACATCTTGCTAGGTTTTTAATCAAATTATGTTGTTACAAAAAAGAAAAGTCTACAATGCTATAAATAAAGGATCTATGTGATTTGATATAACATGTGATTCTTGTTTAATCGGGCATGTCATGAAGCATATCTATACAAAAAATTAAATGATGTTTGGAATGTGAGACACTAATAAATTGTAGTTTAGTGCATTTTACATCATCTAATTTTGAATTGATTGATTCGGTTTATATCAAATAAGTAAAATTATGAAATTAATTAAAAAAAAGAAAAGAGTGAAAAGTAGATGTGGCCATGTGGGCATCGAGTCAACCGAAAACCGCCTGAAGAAAGCCCAATGGGTCCAACCGGGTTATCGGGTTTTGAAATTTGAAATAGTATATGGTTAAATGGCCCAATGTTGTAGCCCAATTTTTGTCTTTTAGGACAATTTTTTAAACAAGAGAACAAAATAAATTGTTTGACATCATTTTACTAGTCTTATATTTGTATAAATAGAAAAATTCGGTTTTGTTTCTTTTTGTATTTTATAATCAAATAAATAAATATTTATTTGATTGGAGTAAACTAACTGTTATCAATCTTAGTAAATAAAAACAAAAAGAGCGTGTAACTGCAATAATATAGTTTTGCTATGATTATATTTGACGAAAAATATAAAACAACTAAGACTTATTCAGAAAATAAAAAACTTTTATTTGTTGTTTTAGATGTAATGAAGTGTACAAATCGGTGTTTCATAAACATTGAAATAGTTCCTTATACAAATTTAGTGTTTGACACGTTTTAATCTATATCTAATATCATTTTATTTTATTTTATTTTTATTATCAACATCATTCTTTTATCAACTATTTTATCCGTTATCATTTTAGCTTTATCAAGATAAAAATAAAAATATAAAAATTAGTTTACATAAATATCACTACAAAATTCATATCAGACCTTGATATTGAATCCGATATAGATTTTTATTTTTCACTTTTATAAATATTTAAAAAACATTAAGTATTATCAGAAATAAAATGATCCTTAATTAAAATATTACAAGTGTTATGTGATAATAAAATAGTCTAATAGTAAAAAAATTGTTTTATTATTAAAATATTAAACTTACTTGTAGTGTTAGGTTGGAGATTTTAAAACATAAATCTTCTCATTTATTTATTTAAACATTAGATAATTATTTTAGTAATAATATTTAATCAAAATAGAGAGATCCTTAATCCTTAATAGTTAATACACCTTTCCTCATTTCGCATTAATTTTCCATTTCCTTCTGTCAATTGTTTAATCATCTAATCATATATGGTTATAATAATAGGAACGAATTCTTCTTTTAATTTGAATAAAAAACTAGTATCAGTAAATAGCATATAGACCACAAATAGTTGAATTACCTTATTACCCCTAGTTTCTCTTCCCAGTAAGTTTTTTCCTGAAAAACATAAAGGAGCTTCGTATATTACAGGCATATAAGAACAAGTATGCAACAGCAACACATATCATTTGTAAATATGTAGAAAATAAAAAGGACTTTTAAGTCCTTTTGCCAATAAAATGAGGAAGTATGTGTACAATGTCTAGTAATAGTTTACTCACCTAAGTACTTGTTTAGGTAATGCTATCTCTATGAGGAAGTTGATGCAGCCCCATAATGGCTCCTTAATGCTTCAATGGCTTTCTCCACAGATTGTGAAAGTCCAGGGATGCTTGTTTTGCATACTGAAATTTTAAGAATTGAAAAGAGTTTAATGAAGTTAGAATAAGCTTTGAGTGTTTAGAAGAAAACATGCTTCTTAGTTAAAGTTATAACAAAATGTAATAGAAACATACAACGAGTTGCTCGGGCTTGTGCTTCTGCTATGAGATCTGTATATGATGCCTAAAACAAACATCTTGTGAGATATGTAAACATGTAAAGATAATAAAGAGCTTTCAGAAGTTATTGGCTTGGAAAATGAGTAGAAAACTAACCTCCATTGCATCATGAGTTTGAGTCATGTGATCAATCATCTTCTTGAAATCCTTTTCAACTTCACTCATTGTTTGTTCACATGCTTGATTTTGGACCTTATGAAATAACAACAGGGGAGATAGGTTTCATGATGAATAGGTGGTAGATGATGGAAGCTACTTGAAAATTTTCCACAGATAGTGATGGAATTATGTATGTGTATAGTTGTATACAAAGTTTTGGATGTAATTCAGAGAAAAGACATGATCAAAGAAGCTATCAAACACGATCTGTGGTTGCATATGTATAAAATTACATAAAACATGACCCCAGGTTTCTTACGGATATAAAATTACATTGATGAGCTGAGGATTTTATAGATGAACACATTAAGAAATTTAAATTGAATTCAACGTATCTTATTTAAGGAAGAAGAGATTGTGATCTCTAATTGCATATAAACATAGAATCCAAGTAATGATTATGGAAATAGGAGATGCACATCACTAATCAGAAATGAAATTGCATACGTGAGAAAATCTACAAGCAAAATATTACATGTTCTACATCTAGATTCATCAACGTAATTTGTTCAATGTGAAAATATAAATCGATAATCAGAGATGAACCTTCCTAAAGCTGATTTATAATTGGTTAGCAGATAATTAACTTTTACACAACTAAGATCGATATGAGAAAACGATCTACGATCAGCAACTTACATTCTCCCTGATAACTTCATACAAGCACTAAGAACGAGAGATATTCACTGACCTTATATCGTTTCTGTAGACGAGAGTGAGAAACTTCCATGTCCTTGAGTATATCGGAATAAGAGCAATCAATTTGACGCTTGATTGAATTAATGCGCGACGATGTCATTTTCTTCAGATCGGCGATACTGTTACCTGTTTTACTCAGTGAAGAGAGAGACTGCATCGGAGAAGTTGCGTTTCGCGGCTCTGCAGCATGTATTTTTCGGTTGTTGTCGTTGCTTCTGCGATCCTCTTTTAGAGATGAGGTTGAATTCGTAGGTGTAGTGAAGCAGCTTGAACTGGATTTGATAATCTCGGGAGATTCACTTGGTGATCGGTTTACAGTCGCCACCAACGGCGGCGGCGTCATGAGAAAATTCGCCGCCGACGACTTTCTCGTTGACCTCCTTTTCATCTCCTCCTTACAACGGATGTCTGGAGTGATTTGAATCAAGAAATTTGGGTATATACGTTGGCGGGAAAAAGATATTTTATTGTTTTCAAAAAAGACAAACTTTTAAAAATATATAAAAACAAATTTTGGAAAAAGATTTGTGGAAAAACAAACTGGGGAGTGTAGGTGTGAAAAATAATTTTATAAAATAACTATATAAACAAATTTGTAAAAAGAATTGTAAAAAATATGTTAAGAAAATTAAGTGTTAAAAGACTTATTATGTAAAATAAAAAAAAAACTGATAAAAATAGGGATAAGTGCTTATTTATACAAGGAATGCAATTATGTTAACTTTTATACAAAATATACAATGATGCTTTAAAATAGGTCTAATTTATACAGCTTGTTAACCTTGCGACCATTAAATTTTTAACTGACATTATTCGATTATATTGACAATCCACATGTATAATTTTCCATGTCATTCCTCTTTCAAATAATCAAAATCTATCGTTCAAGATCTTTGAGTCGTCATCTTGTTTTGTGATTGATACGTTATAATCATCTTTCTAGGGATAACTAAACTTCCCTGCAAATTCAATTCTCTTCAATGTAATGTCCTGTATGCCCTCGTTACTCCTTGTTCTGTTTTCTCTTTACTCTTGATTCAGCCACCATCTATCAGGGGAATGGTTTGGTTGAATGCAATTGTTTCATTTGAAATTTACCATCTTCTATTCATTTGGCCTTCTGATAATCGATTATGGCATGCATTGCTATCTTTTTTATCGGTTAGGGCAAGATTAAGAGTTTAAAATCTTTCTGTATTTTTTTTTCATGTTCCACTCTAACGATTCTGATTTCTATGTTCTTCATTTTCTATTTCTTCAATCTTCAATTGGTAACAACCAAAGTATAAGTAAATTACTAGAGAAAGAAGCTTCATATGTTGATATTAGTTATCAAAAATTGATCCGTTTGATTTCAAACTCCAAATTGATTCATTTGTTTCCGATAGAATTTTAGAACAAATATGACAGATCATAGAAGTATGAAACGTGCAACCAGGTTGTGGACTTATGAAATTTGCAACACGATTTGGGTTTAAATCAAACGATTGAAAAGTAATGGATTATTTACACTAAGTTGGGTATATAAAAATAAATTACTTGTCACAGTTAGTAAGGTAGTTATAAAATAAATAGTTACTTACCTTTGCAAGTCCTTAAGATGTTCATGCTTTTTTCTTATCACATGACATATGTCATATGTCATGATCCCATCTTTCAACTTTCTTCCTCGTCTCTTCCATTCTTTCCATGATTATAATTCTTATAGCCTCTGACATGGTTATAATAGGTTGACTCCTGGCATCAAGTATTAGTGAATTGAAACATTCATTGATATCGTTCTCTACTACATCACACCATGTACATGTCATAAAGAATGACCTACATCAAATATGGCATATTAATCAAAAACTAATTATCAATGAAAACATAGTTATCAATAAAAACTATATTAAACATACCATGTTTGAGACGAATGTTCATATGATATATTGGTATGATAGTGGGTTTTCTAACCTAATTTGTCTCATTACTTCTTCAAATTGTTGTGGATATGATGCTTTAGAAGCAATCCAAAGTTTTGAAATTGTACCCCGTTAAATTTTTTTTTCTTACCTATTGCTTGCAAATATTTCAACTTCATATTCAGATTATACCGGATCTTATGCTCAAATTTGTTTGCTATAACTTTATATATAACTAATGAAGCAAGTTTCAACTTCATATTCGGTTTTCATCTAGGTAGCCCATAATCTCCATGAGCAAACTTGGACACCATCCTTACCTTTCTTCTTCGACCCACATTTAGCTAAAACCTTATAGCAATTCTATCATACCAAATTGGATAACCATTAGCAAGCGCGTAGGCTTGAAAATATTTCACCTAATTTAGGTTTCATAAGGCCTAGTTCCCGAAAGAAAAGAAATGAAAATAAGAGAAAGAAAATCATGAGAGAAAAGGAATAGAAAGGAAAGGAAAAGAAAATTTTCTTTTGTGTTCCCGAGTTGGAGAGAAGTGGAAGAAAAATTAATCATTTTGTTATTTCTTTCCAAATCCTTCCAAATTGGAAGGAAAGTTAGGAGGAAAAGTGATAATTCCATTTCCCTCCACTCCTTCCTTTAATGAAACTCGGGAAAACAAATTTCTTTTAATTTCTTCTCATTTTCACCCATTTCCTTTCTTTTCTCTCGTTAAGTTGATCTCGGGAATGGGGTGTAAGTCTCCAATGGGTGTGAGGATCATGTCTAGGTCCTTTAAAAAGCTCTTTGGTGTCCTCATCTTCACTATTCACCTCGTTCTCATCTTTAGTTGCTTTTTGTAATGTCGTAGAAATATCTTTCAAGTATGTCTCATGTTCACTTGGCTCCTTTATCTCATCTACATGTATATGTGATAGATATGTAACGTCCCATAAATACTGAGTAAAAAATTTCATTTTTAGTAAGCCAAACCATTCATTCATTAACCCAGAAGACAACCAGAGTAACAGTATTCTCAAAATATCATAGTAAAACCATACACAATCAATGAGAAATAAATCTCCAGGGATGCAGTGTGATCAAGCCGTACTCTTCCTTTTGAGACCAGATCTACCTGAAAACATTTTAAACATAAGCACAAATCTTAGTGAGTTCCCCAAAATACCACATACAACATATATGTATATAACAACACGTAGCTGTGTCGGGTCCATATCAAACCTGAGTCCATAATGACTTTATATAACAACACGTAGCTGTGTCGGGCCCGTATCAACCTACAAGCCCGTATCAACCCCGTGTCCATAATAAATCTATATAACATCACGTAGTTGTGTCAGGTCTGTATCAACCCCACATACATAAAACATACAGTCATATCATTAAGAGTCACAAAGACAACAAGCACATACAAACATATCAGCAAGTGTCACCAAGACAACTATCATCCTACAAACATAATATAGTGGGTCGGCATTGGTGCCTTCGACCCACAAGTACAGTGAAGAGACTCACCTGAACTATTCAACAGAATCCCAACAGCTACCTCGGCAACGTGATAGCTAACCCAAGCTTCCTAAAGCCAATCGGAAATCAATCCTTAGCCATATGCTTAATTTTACTCAAGTTTGACCAAAAGTCAAACTGGTCAAAAATTCAATGCTCAAAGTCAAATTAAAAATTTCCGATCAGCAGACCTCCACGTCGTGGCCTTCCTTGGCCACGTCATGGGCATAAAATGCCAAAACAGACGCGAATTCCCCAGTCGCCACGCCGTGGCAACCTAAGGCCACGTCGTGGGGACTGGTCTGAACAGCTTAAACGAGCTTAATCAAATTCCTTCCGATTCCAAGAGCTCCAAACCTCATATCTTATCCTTTCCAATGTCTTAATGGATAAAGTTTCTAACTTTATCCATTATGAAGGTCCAAACCACCAATATCTAGACTTTAAGTCTCAAAGGGCCCAAAAATGCATCTTTCTCAACTTAATCCATTAAGTCCAAGTCTCTCACTTCCAGATCTGAATCAATAAGATGTCTAGAGGGATAAAGTTTCTAAATTTATCCATAATAATGCCCCAATCAATCTAGATCTAAACTTTAATACACCAAAATGGCCTAAAGGACTAAGATAACTTGCATGAATTAAAGGAAAGGAAAAAGATCATGACTTTCCTAGTCCATGAGGTCCAAGAAGCATTCTAAACTAATCAAAAGATGTTGGAGTCCACTCAAATCCAAGATCACCCATAAAATGGACCAAAAGTGCCAAAAACCCCAAATAACAAGATCTAAGGAACTAGATAACAAGATTGGAACTTTATACTTACAATAGTCTAGAAATGTAGTGTCTTTGATGGATATAAATTTGAAGCATCATTCCTTGCAACCAAAAGAGCCTTATTGATCTTTAAATTCATCAAAATGTCATAAAAAGCACTCAAAAGAGGAGAGAGTGGAAATGAGAAGCTCATGTATTGGAGGTAGAGGCTAGGGTTTTTCCTAAGGGGTACTAGAGTTGATGTAGGATGATAAAATGACCAAAAATACAGAGCATTATGCTTATATATGTTGAAATCCCTAAAAATCATGAGCTTGGGCCTGATTGATCGCCACGTCGTGGGCTCTGATCCCCACGTTGTGGCCACGACTTTTCACCCAAAACCATTGTAGTTTCAAACAACCATAACTTATTCGTTTTAACTCCATTTTCGGTGATCTTTATATCAAATGAAAGGCATTGACGAGCCCTACAACCCTATCTAATTACTTTTTGACATAATATATGTCGAACTAAAACCATAATCCATGCAAGAAGCCTGGAATATTACTTTTCCCATTTTACCCTTTGACTCCAAAACACAAACCAATGGCTTAGGTCACATAACCAATATTATCAACATTCGATAGGGTCTAAACCCTATTCCCTTGAATCCCAAGGCCTTTACTTGATCCATTTAATGTCCATAATCCTAAAATAAAAAACTTCTCGAAATAGGATGTTACAAGATAATTCATTTTTTTCTTTCTAAACTCGATTAATTCATCATCTCCTTCTGAGAGATGATCTATAGCGGAATTCTCAAAATCTTCGTCATCATCAATCCAACTCGATGCACTACTACTGTCACTCTCAATAATACCCTCACCTAATGTTTGTTCCGCATTACCAATGTCATGTACTATATGTGCATCCTCTCCCATGAACTCACTTAAATCTTCCCTGAAATGATCTAAATAAATTTCAGTTTTTTGGATACTTGTAAGCCCATAATCGACCATGTTATTTATATCATCATCACATTTAACCAACCTTAATCCGTTTTGTAATTCTTTTCCTGGAATACAAAATTACATGTTTATGAATGTAGTATTCACCTCTTTCTCAAAAAAAATCTTCAATTTGATACAATTCTTGGTTGCTAAAATCAAGATTAATAAAAAACTTAACCTTACCAATGAGTAAGTGAGAGGAATCTTCACAA